GCAGAGACCTGTTCCCACAACAACTATTTGTGGATGATAAACATTTGTATCAGGTCAACTAAACATGGGCATAGTAACAATATTTTTATACTACATTTATCCATTTTAAATATACTAACCTCACTCCTTTGTAACAACTAAGGCAAAAATGTAATTAATTCAGAAAATCTTTTCGGGACCCCACTTTGGTTCCCGACCCCAACTTTGGGAAACACTGTCTTAAAGAGTAACTTATTCTATCTGTGGAAAAACTACAGGAAAATGTATTTTTCCTGTAGTTTGTAGTCATTTGTTCTAATAAGTTGTCAACTTGCCCATTTTATGTTTATTTCAGCTGTACAGTCCACAAAGTGTAACATTTCTGGAACCCAGTATGAGAGTGTTTTAATAGACTGTAGGGTTTATTAATGATAAGTCAGAAATGCATTTTTCCTAATAACCCAGTAAAAGTGGTAAAGCTCAGATTGAACGCAGCATTACACATGTGAAAGTCTCAAAAGTCAAATTTACAGGCGAGCCGATTTGTGCACGTGCAAATCTTGCTGCTCCCTCACTCAAGTCGTGATGTGCTCGCTCAAACCTGTGAGACTGGATTAACTCCATTATCAAACCATGAATTTATGTATTTTTTTTCCCGGTAAGATGAACCTACACCGCAAGTAAAAATAAGTTAAAAATACTAAATTATATATGAATGTTCTGTAATTAAGTCAGTAAGACAGTTGTCTATGGAAATACAGGAAAAATTTCCAGATGAACAAGATTAATAATCTTAACACATCCTGTTCTTTATTAGTTCATCAGTCTCAAAACAAGATCAAAAATACTTTTTTGTTGAATATAAGATTGTAAGATTTGGTTAGATGGACAGTTTTTGCAGTGAATTGGTGTCTCTGGAAATGATTCTGTCTTCTGAACCAGAGTTTTAAAGTATCTAAGTACAAATACTTTGTTACTGTACTTAACACCTGTACCTAATTTCCCTCTGGAAATTATATTCATAATTTCCCTCTGGGTTTAATAAAGTATTTTTGAATTGAATTAAGTAGAAATTTTGGTTATCTATACTTTAAAGCCTACTTTTTACTTCTACTCAAGGTTGGGCAATATTGGCAAAGAAATTAATCACGATTAATTGTGGTATTTAGCCGATAACGATTAATTTGACGATTAATCCCCTGGAGTCCCTGGACACACAGGTCCTGGTCACATGACCAATTTAGTGGGAAAGATTTGCTCTTCATAAAAATATGTTCAAAACTTGTGTCAAAATTACAGACTTCATGCCATACATCAAAATTTAAATTGTGTTGATATATAAATTACAGAACTTTTTTTTTTTAATGTTCATCATATTTGAAGCAGAGAGGAGCACCGAATGGACTCTGCCTGGTGGCATTAATCGTATTAATCGTCAAGTGCCAAAAAATAATCGATTAATGCTTTTCTGACGATTAATTGCACACGATACGATTATGCCCAACCCTACTACTCCTTACATTTTCACACAGTTTCTCTGTACTTCCTACTTACATTTTTTTCAAAAGGTAAGAAGTAGGAAGTCATTATTCCTTTTTCATTCTGTCTTATTATTATAATTTTAAAATACTATCCTGATAATTTGTGCCTCCAGGACAGAATACCATTCTGACCCCATGCTTTGTACACAATCCATCACAATTGCACACCTTTGGAAAAATAATAATTGTGAGGTCACCTCCCAATAAATGTCATTTTGGAAAATCTAACTGCTCATTTTTACTCAGTACTTTTACTTTTAATACATAAGTACATTTTATGTCAGAAATTTAATTTTAATACTTAAGTACAAAAAAAATCAAATACTTTTACTCAAGTAATGTGTTTAGAGGAGAGTTTAACTTTGACCAAAGTCATTTTATGAAAATATACTTGTACTTTTATTCAAGTATCATGGTGAGGTAAATACAACACTGTTCAGAACTTCTTAAACTTATTTTTAGTAGCAGTAATTATTGTGATCTTGTTAATTATAACATTTTTTGAAACATCTGATCAAATCAAACCTAAATAACTTGGACAAACGTTGTGATACAGTGGGGAGATCAAGTATTTGATACACTGTTGATTTTTCAGGTTTTCCCACTTGCAAAGCTTGTAGATGACTGTAATTTTTTATCATAGGTACTCTTCAACTGTGAGTGATGGAATCTAAAACAAAAATCCAGAAAGATACAATGTATGATTTTTAAATAATTAATTTCCATTTTATTGTGTGAAATAAGTATTTGATCATCTATCAACCAGTAAGAATTTTGGCTCTCACAGACATGTTAGTTCTTCTTTAAGAAGCCCTCCTGTTCTCCACTCATTACCTGTATTAACTGCACCTGTTTGAACTCGTTACCTGTATAAAAGACACCTGTCCACACACTCAATCAATCAGACTCCAGCATCTCCACAATGCCCAAGACCAGAGAGCTGTGTAAGGACATCAGGGATAAAATTGTAGACCTGCACAAGGCTGGGATGGGCTACAGGACAATAGGCAAGCAGCTTGGTGAGAAGGCAACAACAGKTGGTGCAATTATTAGAAAATGGAAGAAATACAAAATAACTGAAAATCTCCCTCGGTCTGGGGCGCCATGCAAGATCTCACCTCGTGGAGCATCATTGATCTTGAGGAAGGTGAGGAATGAGCCCAGAACTACACGGCAGGACCTGGTCAATGACCTGAATAGAGCTGGGACCACAGTCTCAAAGAAAACAATCAGTAACACTCTACGCCGTCAAGGATTAAAATCCTGCAGTGCACGCAAGGTGCCCTTCCTCAAGCCAACGCATGTCAAAGCCCGTCTGATGTTTGCAAATGACCATCTGAATGATCCAGAGGAGGAATGGGAGAAGGTCATGTGGTCTGATGAGACAAAAATGGAAGTTTTTGGTTTAAACTCCACTCGTCATGTTTGGAGGAAGAAGAATGATGAGTACAACCCCAAGAACACCATCCCAACCGTGAAGCATGGCGGTGGAAACATCATTCTTTGGGGATGCTTTTCTGCAAAGGGGACAGGACGACTGCACCATATTGTGGGAAGGATGGATGGGGCCATGTATCGTGAGATTTTGGCCAACAACCTCCTTCCCTCAGTAAGAGCACTGAAGATGGGTCGTGGCTGGGTCTTCCAGCATGATAACGACCCAAAACACACAGCCAGGGCAACTAAAGAGTGGCTCCGTAGGAAACATCTTAAGGTCCTGGAGTGGCCTAGCCAGTCTCCAGACCTGAATCCAATAGAAAATCTTTGGAGGGAGCTTAAAGTCCGTGTGGCCCAGCGACAGCCCCGAAACCTGAAGGCTCTGGAGGAGATCTGTATGGAGGAGTGGGCCAAAATCCCTGCTGCAGTGTGTGCAAAACTGGTCAAGAACTACAGGAAAAGTCTGATCTCTGTAAGGGCAAACAAAGGTTTCTGTACCAAATATTAAGTTTCATTTTTCTGGTGTATCAAATACTTATTTCACACAATAAAATGGRAATTAATTATTTAAAAATCATACATTGTATTTTTCTGGATTTTTGWTTTAGTTTCCATCACTCACAGTTGAAGAGTACCTATGATAAAAATTACAGTCATCTACAAGCTTTGCAAGTGGGAAAACCTGAAATCAACAGTGTATCAAATACTTGTTCTCCCCACTTTATTTGTTCTGCTCAGCTGCAGTATCAGTGAGGTTTTCTTTGCTCTGCAGCCTCACAGGTGACAATGATGATGATGATGACGACGAGGTGTTTGTTGGTGTGGTCAGCCATGAGGAGCGATGTGTTTCTGTTGGTGTAACGTCTCAGTTGGAGCAGCGCAGCAGTGGCAGCCCCCCGCGGGTCAGCTGGAGCCCGCTGACTGGTGACCAGATGGAAGCTGTGTGTCAGGAAGCCCACAGACTGGCCAATCAGCTGCAGAGTGAAGCCCCGTGCTGTGAGCACCCCCAAACCACCACAAACACCAACACAGAGACCTCAGCTGAGAGCGACCAGTTTGTCCAGGATTCTGGGACTAAACTTGGTCTGCTGGGTCAGACCACCCGAGTACTCAGCCCCATCAAAAGACAGACCTTCTGCGTTCAGGACAGTCCAATGAAGCAGCTGCCTCCCGCCATCCAGCGCCAGCTGCTGAGGGGGAGGAGCTCCAGCACAGCTTCATCCGCCCGCCCTGCTGCCCCAAGCAGGCTCAGTACCTCCAGCCCCGCAGCCCGAGCCAAAGCCCAGTCCCGGACCTCGCTGCGAGGCAGATCCACGCTCGGAGCGGCTGCGGTGCTGCCGAGCAAACCTGTCGCTCCGGCTACTTCCTGCTCAGCCAACAAGAGCAAAGTGGAGAAAAGCAGATTACAACCACCAAGCAAGGTGAGAGAGGGTTCTCTTTTGTATCGTTCGAACATTTTAATGGAGGAAAAAAACTGCTAACAGGACTCTGTGGGTATTTGTGTTTCAGACATCAGGGTTTTTGAGGCAAAGCCCGTCGATGCGTCCCCCCAGCAGGGCCGAGTCCAGTGAGGATTTACTCTCTGATTCAGCAAGCGTGGCCTCTGACGTGAGCGACTCCTCCATCAACTCCTGCCTGCTGGGAAAACACACTTTAGCTCCACCCACTAAGGTATCACATCTGCTCTGCCACAGAT